ATTATTATTCACTTTTAGTTGGATGTGCTTTAAAAGCGTGTTTTTAGTTTTTTAAACTATATTAATTTTTCACTTTTTAGTTTGATGTGAGAACCCCAAATTATTTAAAATATTAACTGTGACCTGGTCTACGAAAAGGGAGATAACGTGCGAAAACTAGTTTTCTGGGAAACAGCTGTTAAAAATCTCATCTTCCATCCGAATCAACTAAAAAGTGAAAATTGATTTTTTGACACCTAAGCCCCCTTTCCGTAGACCAGGTCACAACTATGGCAAACTGTCTCTCTGGCTTCCTCTGATTCTGACGCTTTCTGCGGCATGTTGGCCACTTGTGAACAAATAATATGACACACACACACAGACTTTCGAAAATCTAAACATATCTTTCGCTTATAATATTCAAACGGAGTGGAGATATTCCTCTTCCTCTGCCTCTCCCGGCGGGTACTGCATTAAACTTATACTTTCAGAGCTGGAGTGTTTTCGTCCATTCGGACAACATGACCTAGCCAGCGTAGCCGCTGTATTTTAATTCGCTGAATTATGTCAATGTCGTCGTATATCTCGTACATCGTTCCACCGAATGTGATATTCGCCGTGGCCAATGTACAAAGATCCATAACGTTCGCAGAACCTTTCTCTCGAAAACTCTCAACGTCGACTCATCAGTTGTTGTGAGTCTCTGCACCACATAACAGGACGGGAGTAATGAGTGACTTATAGAGTTTGGTTTTTGTTCGTTCAGAGAGGACTTTATTTCTCACTTACCTACTCAGTCTGAAGTAGCACCTGTTAGCAAGAGATATTCAGCGTTGGATTTCCAAGCTGACGTTATTGGTGGTGTTTATACTGAATCCTAAATAGACGAAATTATCTACAACTTCGAAGTTATAACTGTCAACAGTGACTAGAGAGCCAAGTCGCGAGTGCGACGATTGTTTGTTTGATCACAGGAGATATTTCATCTTGCCCTCGTTCACTTGCAGACCCATTTGATTTGCTTCCTTGTCCTGCCTGAAGAAAGCAGAACTAACGGCGCGGGTGTTGACCAGGATGATATCAATATCATCGGCATGCGCCAGCAGCTGTACACTCTTATAAAATATTGCACGAGCTCTGCTCGATTAAGATCTGAAGCTCGAAAAGCCACGTAGCGAAAAGAAGAAACGACTGGCGCGCGGTTGTTAACTAGGCTACAATCGCGTAAGCGGTGACTACGCCAATCAAGAAGAAGAAGATATGATCCTGATATTTATGATGTTAAAGCGGAAACCAACAAAGTAAACGGTATGGCTTAATGTATTTCTGTTATTTTTAACTAGCACTTCAAGTGGTCGACCCGAAAGTACTTATGAAAATTATGGATACTTGCAGTTGTTTTGCGGAGATATTTAATGTAGACGTCTTGATGGTAAGCATTTGAATTTTTACTACAAAGCTTCTATTATAAGCATAGCTTTGCAAAACTAAATTTTATTGCATAAAAGTCATGTGTTTCGCATTGTTTGAATTTTTTTCTTTAAGTGTGCTGTTATTTTATATTTATGTTTTCACAGATTTTTATTGTCTACGTCTTTGCATTTAAAATTTCCCGATATATATACTTTCTTTAAGGATATACATATGTATATTTCAGTATATATGTACATATGCTACTCAAATGTCGCCAAAACTAGTTTTATATAGATGTTGCATATTTTTGGTGAGCTGCTTAAACTTACTGTCGCCTACATTGTCGCTCAAATATTCTAGGCTTTAGTACCACCGGATAAAGTTACAAAAAAACATACAAATGAAGCTAATAAAAGCATATTAAAAAGAGTCAACCACAACATTGAGCATGTTTAGCTTTAATCAGATTTAAGGCAATTAAAAAAATCTTTTATGCACTCTATACATAGTGATGGAATCGAAACAGATCTAAAGTATCCACGTCCACTCAGTATAGGTGTAGGGCTCCATGTTGTCTATCAATCCATGAATGAGTGTTGCGAATTAGAACTACGGAACCCATTGCTTGTACTTTTAAAGCTCATCGGATGGAACGCACACAACCTATATTGGCCATCATTCTTGATAAAGCGTTATAGATTTTGTTTTCTTTATCGGAAGTATATGGCAGGTATTCCTTATATTTTAAATTGGAGTTAAGTCCCCTATTGTGAGTGATAGCCTTTCTTTCACCTTGTGCTTACGAACAAAACTTCCGTCATTGACGCAGACGATTTAAGCTATCACTGTATTTAAGTCGAAGTCATCTACATAGATATCCCGCTACTGCTGCCACTATGAGCTCATATGAAGCTTTTTTGAAGCTTTCTTAACACCCTATCGAGACCTGCAGTAATCCGCGTGAGATAATGTAGCTCTGAGTGCCCTCATAGAAGAAGTCGAATAACAGACTCTTATTTTCGAAATAGCTCATTATAAAATTGCTCGGTATTAGGAAGCGTGTATTTTGTATAGATTTCGACTTTATTTGCCCAATTTGCGGAGTTGAATGCATTCTCCACATCCAGGGTAACTGGAGCGTAATATTTGTTTATGCCACCATTCCATTTTTTACCACTTACCGACTTTACTTAGTCAAACTATAGACTATTAGAAAATAGTCAACCTCTTTTTTATAAAGCCTTATTTTTTTCTGATTATCCGCCGGCTTTTTGGATTGCAAACTCCAGGCGGTTTCTTACTATGCTTTTGTATATTTTAACAATCGTGTCGAGCATGCAGAAAGGCTCTTCAGGTGGCTTTTTTGTTTTGGGTAGATCGATTTACATTCCAAGTGTCAGAGGACTTCTCTTCTGCTATACACTCGTTATAAATTTTGACAAAGAAAGTCGTAAAGCTATTGCTTTTTCCAGGGCTCTATATGATATACAATAAATTTCAGGCGTCTTGATTTTTTTTGAGTTTTTCCCTATCACCAATATTTCATCTTTAGTGACTAATTGGACAGACTCTGCAGATTCGTTTCACTAAGCATAGGAAATGGGACCATGTGGCGGAAATAAAGTTTCGCCGGCTTCCTTATAAACAACGAATTCCATTATTGCGGAAACTTATTTATGAACATCGACATATGTACATGTTTTGTAAGCAGGGTTCTGTTTTCTACTTCTCAAATTTTCTCAAATTTTTCTACGGCCAGTGGCTTTTTTCAAAAGTTTTTTTTGATTGTTAAGCATTTTTATATGGCGGCTTATGAATAAAACGAGTGTGGTGAACATTGTGGTGAAATTCATAACAGTGCATCTTTGGTGCATAAAATTGATAAAATTGGGCGAAAACTTGACCCAGACATTACATAACTAATATCGTAATTTTCGAACATATTCCAAGTTGTATGAGTATACACCCGAACTTAGCCTTCCTTGCTTGTTTTATTATATATTTGTTTGACTTGAAAGCAGAGGGAATTCATCTCGTCTTCCTGATCGGGATGTTGCCATGAAAGTAGTGGAAAAAGTGTCTTAGAGAATTTGGTACCAAAATTGAGGGAGCTTAGTTTAAAATTCTGACTTATAACGACATCAATATACAGTATTGGACAAAACTAAAGCACCAGTACTATGGTTTAGTACGAACTTAGCTGTTTTCAGACAATAAAAATAAATAAATGTAAACATGACATTTTTCAATGGATTGCTTATTAATTTTTTTTGAAATAAAGCTTTTCATTTTCAGTTTTCAAAACTAAATAAGTTAAAACAGCAAAAACATTTATGGCTTAAAAATTAACTGGACAAAACTAAAGCACCCCTTTCATCGGTTTGAAAATAATATGTGAAAATGAAAAAATAGTAGCAAATCCCTTATTTTGGGTAACTGAAACGCATATTTTAGGCATAGAAGAAATTAAATTATTTACTACATATCATGTGGCATGCCATTCCGAGCAACTTCTTCAGGTTCTTAAGGTTGATTCTTGGTTTTACAATTTTCTCTATTTATTTTGGAATTAACGATATCCCATAGGTTATCTATGGATTTGACATCGAGTGATTACGCCTGCCAATCTAAAACATCAACTCTGTAAATTCATAACCAAGTTTTTCGGTATTGAATCCTCTCTTTATGTAGTTTTTCCGTCTTCCTGTGCCGAAAAAATACATTGCCAGTTTGCTGAAATTTATTTATTAATCGGGAGCACCACTGATCTATTCACCGAATACTTTTGACTAATTTTATGTTGAGATGAACTGTTTTGGCAATCACTTATTATAATATTTTATTTGTAAAGTCGGCTGAATAAGTATCTTCCTCTAATTTTGATTCTTAAACTCTAAATCGCAACTGAACAATACCAACGACAAAAATCTCTTTACAAAATATCTCAATAATATTTGTAATGGTTAATTGTTAACGACTTCAACGAATAACGTGCTTTTAAAGTAGCGCGGTACTTTTTTTCCTAACAAATATTAGGGGGTGCTTTAGTTTTGTCCACTCAGATTTAGACTTTTGAAAAGGTTTTTTGTTTAAAATTTTGTATCTCGAAAGCATACATACTAATGTTATATTTTTTATAAATTAATAGATGTACATAATTATAACCTGTAATAATTGTCCAACTAGTCCAGTTATATTTTTCAAAAATTTGGACATAAAAAATCCTGCAGGGGGTGCTTTAGTTTTGTCCAATACTGTATATCACTCGCCTTTAATACTTTGAAGTTAATTCTTTATTCGCATCGAAATATATGTAGTTCACACTACTTTTAGATATCTTATTTGCGAGCGAATTAAATGTTTGTATTCAATCCAGTTATTTAGCTTTTTCTCTTAGTTACTTTTTGAGATATATGAATATATAGCTATTTAACTATTACGTATTTGTATTACATGCACAAAACAAATACCATATGTTCCACGATTTTCTTTCCAAAGTGAAGACAACCTTAAAGTTTGTTGCATCCATACATATGTATGTATACCGAATGAGCTCAATTGTTTAAATACATTGTGGCTGACTTGGAGAATTAGTGTTCGAGAGGATGTCGAACGAAGTGCATTGAAATTGTGTAAGAGTGAATATTAGCATTGCTAAAAGTGTTTGTGTTTTTAAAAATAGATATTAAAAGAAGACATGTATTATATGTAAACTCACTGCACTGAGTGCAATTGTCAAAGCGGGAATGCTTTCCTTCGCAGTTAAAAAATAACTCGGTCAGTCGATTTTGCGAGAAGAAATTATATTTCTGGTTATAATACATATATTGTTTTATAAAAATTGCATATAAAAAAATGAAGACAGCTTGACAGATTGAAATTATTGTAATAAAATTTTTGGTAGTTTCTTAATTTAACAGTATAAATAAAATTTTATTGTTTCAAAACATTTTATTATGCAATATGACTATTCATAAACATACAATATTATATTTTTAGTGGCCTGAGTACATTATTTCAAAATTACTTCTTGCTTTACACAAAAACAGAGAAAATGGAAAGTGTAAGTATATAAACTAGAAATTTGTTTGATATTGAGCATGCTAAAACGAAAAACATTTTTATAAAATTTAATATTAGTATTTCGAAATCGGTCGCAAATGTTAACCTACATGTGTATCTTCATCGGAAAATTAATATTTGTTTTTCAAATATATATACATACGTTTATTAAATATAAAAACGGATGTGAAATATATTTCTAAATAAATAACAAAAGCTTAGACATGTATGCATATGCATACACTCACGGCGAACATTCGCAGGTATGTGTAAATCCCTAGCCTGCGAGATGCTGAGAAATTAAACAGTTTTTTATGTTAAAGACCATCTTATAATTTTTTGATTCATACAACTTACAAAACACTTTATCTTTAGCCGCGTTACGCGACATCACATAAAAGCTAATTTAAATTGTAAAAAAGTTAAATTTGAGACTATTTTTGAACATTTAGTTGAACTAAATTACTATATTATAGCGTTGTACTTAAATATATATTTATTATATATCAGAGAATCACCATAAGGTTTAAGAACTTTATAAAAAAATTACAGTATTCACTTGTGAAACGTTATGCAAAAAGTTTTTAATACTACTCTAGCAAATGTATTGAAATACCCCAAATTTATTCAATTAGAGGTATTACACAGCCACACATATCTTACTAAATTTTGATGTTTTCATGTGCAAAGGTTACGGATTTGTTCATGAAATTATTGAAGGTGCTTTTGTTTATGAGATTATTGCCTATCTTTTATTTGAATCTTAATAGTAGTAATGTTAAAAATCGTTTCATGGCGGTGAACGTCGAAGAATATTGCTTTAATTACACTTGTAGAAAATTTTCGAAGCTTTATAAAGGAGGGTGGAAGGATGAAATATTTGATGGTCTTCCAATACGGCAACTAATGAAAGATTGAAATTATTATTATTATATATACCTTATAATTATAATCGAAGTTTGTTTTAGGTAACCTAAAGCACCAAATTACGAAAAAATTTTGAAAAATGTGCTGACACAAAGTTTATTCAACGAAGAGAAATAAGTATTTGACTTACGCTTATTGGACAAAAAAAAAAAAAACAAATAATTCATGTATTTCTTTAGAAGCTACTTCCGTACTTTTTTAAAGAAAAAACCAAAAAATACAAATTTAATGGGAAAGTATTCAAAATAACATTCTTTGGCATTTATTTTTTGAAGTTGAAAGAGAACTATTGACCGCGGCTACGTCTGAGATGGTCCATCCGTTGAGTTTGAGCATTTCGACGGGTAACTGTCGAATGACACGCGTGATGTTTTGCTACAAGGCCTAAATCGAAATAAGATTGTCCGTATAGACTTTAGACTTTACTTATCACCACAGGAAAGAGTCTAACGGTGTGATATAATACGATCTTGGTTGCCAATCGACTTGCTCAAAATGTGAAATTATCTGCTCACCGAAGTGTTATTTCAATTACTTAATTGATTTATGCAATGTGTTAAAAGTGGCGCCGTCTTGTTGAAACCAAATGTCACTGAGATCACGAGCTTCAACTTCAGGCATCACGTAGTCGATTATCATGGCGCGAATAAGCGTCGTCATTGATGGTTACGTTCAATTTTTAAGAACTATGGGCCGGTGATTCCCCACCCACACCAAACCATTGTTTTTTCTGGATGAAATGAAAGCTCTTGAAGCTGTTCCAGGTACTCTGCGTCCAAAATGCAGTAATTTTGCTTGTTTACATAATCGTTGAGCTAGGAATGGAAATCATGGCTGAACAAAATTTGGCTCGAAAACGTCGAATCTTCTGGGAACTTTTTAAGAGCCCATAGAGCCATTTGAAAGGTCGAGCGGCTTCAGTTATGGCACAAGCAGTATTTGGTAGCCATAGCAAGAGGCACTGCTCACATATGTACACATCTTGGTTAAGTCCCCATTTGGAGTTTTTAAGATGCATTAGAAGAATACATTTTTTTAACAATAGAAAGATCGCAAATATTTATTAACACAATATTTGGAAAAAATTAGAATATATGATATGATAATTTTTGGCAAAAAACGGATGGAAAGATATATACACATAATAAATGGGAGAAATTTTATATTTTAAATAATGATTACAAGAAAAAGCTCTTTTTACATAATGGTTAAAATCCAATATAAATACAACTTAAAAAGCTTATAGATTGGTTTTTTTGAAAAAAGTTTTTTTTTTAAATAAAAAGTATTTCAATWATTCAAAACCAATGTATAAATATAAAAAGAAAAATAAATTAAAAAAAGATATAAAAAAAAATGATGGCTCAAAATGAAATGTTAAACGTTGTTTACCAGCAATAACACAATTGCTTTAACAAAATGTTGCACAGCAGGAAACTACTGTTTGAACATTGAAAAAGATCTAAAATACTTAGAGCCATTTGAAGGTAATGCAAAATATTTACTGACGTTTGTTGAGGCAATTGATAGGGTACTAGCTGATTATGCTGGACAACAACAGTAGCCTTCAGAGTAGTTTATGATTTAAAAATTTTAGGGTCGGCAAATAATTTTTTAAAATTGAATTTTATCCCAGAAAATTGGGTTACATGCAAAATAAGATTACAACAGTACTTTAGGCCAACAAAAACCAGATGATTTTTACCTACGACATCGCTTAGGGCGGGAAGAAATAATGAATAATATTACCCAATATTGTGCTTTGAGTGAGACAGGCGGTATGATAAAGAAATATTTTTAGGAATGATTATACAAAGGGTAAAGCAACTTGCAGCGGGGACTTTCGCCTATGTGGCACGGAATATAACGACATGGGCAGACATGTCAAAAACGATCAAAAATTGCATAGGGCTTGACGATGGAAATTTAAACCCTATACTTTTATCTTTTTACTTTTTAGAAATTCAGACCAATTTGCTCAAAATGCAAGAAATTTTAATAGTAACCGAAATGAAAATAATCAAAGAATAAACAACTTTAGGAGAGAAAATATTAATATTATTAAAACAATCATCGTTACTGTTCACAAAATAGTTCGGGACGATACTCCCAAAGAAATACCAACTTTTCAGGTCAAAATAATTATTAACCAAATAATCCACGGAGACAAACTAATCATCGGACAGAAAATTCAAGCCAATATACAAATAAAAATCGTAATATGAAAGGTTGCGGTAATTCTGCAACACAAAATATACAGAACGGCACTCGGCAAACAAGACGTTCAAATGGCCGAATACCATGGATGTTAGCATCAACAGAGGAAACAAATAACAATGAGGAATTTTTTACCAATTAGCCTCGGAAAATCGAAATAAAATTTTAATTTCATTTACTCTGTTGAAAAAAAAAATGGGGTTCATTAGTAGACCAAGGCTCTACCATAAGTATTATGAAAAAATTAAGCTTCGAACATTGTAATTTACCGGTTCTAGAAAAAAATAAAACAATAATTAGTACACTGAATGATGAAATAAGAGCGTCTAACGAAAGAGTTAAGACACCGCCCACTAGAATTTAGATACCCTCACAAAGCTAAGAGGAGATGGTTCAAAATAGACTTTGAAAACCCGTATGATCTTCTATTAGGAAATGATTTTATTTTCCAAAACTTTAAAATTATTGATATAGAAAAAACTAATATTACTTTGAAAAATGGAACAATGATTCCTCTCCATATGAAAACTGTTCAGGAACAGGTTTATTCAGTGAGTGAACAAAAAAATATTGCACTCGATCATCTGAAATCAGATGAAAAAGAAATATTGAAATTCGATTAAACCAATTCTACAAACTATTTTACAAAGAGGGGGATAATCTCCTCAACACAAAACATGGTACTGAGATGAAGACCACAACCAACCACAAAATAAATTCAATAATCTATAGACTACCTCGAAAACACGAAGAATGTATAAGAAAGCAAGTTTATCAGTTAGAAAGTCGGGGAATAACCCGAAAAAGTAGACGCAGGTATAACTCACATATTTTAATTATACCAAAGAAAGCGGAGGGTCCAAATACTCAAAAATATAGATTAGTGGTTGACTATAGGAGAATTAACTAACTGACTGTCGATGATAAGTACCCTCCGCCAAATATTGATTTTGATTTTGAATAAGTTTGGCAAAGCACAGTACTTTAGCACCATTGATTTAGCCAAACGTTATCACAGAATGTTAATGGCAGAAAGGGACATCGAAAAACAGCTTTCCTTAATCCGGCAGGATTGTATAAGTACGTCGTATGCCTTTTAGGAAAAATGCTCTAGTCACCTTCCAAAGGATGATGCAAGAGATTCTAAACAAAACTTGTATTGTCTATCTGGATGATATTTTGGTCTTTTCCATGTTCTTGGAAGTCCATATTCTATCACTTGAAAAATGTTTCGCAGTTTTAGCGACTCACAATTTAAAAATTTAAGCAAGCAAATTTAGCTTTCTAAAAAGGGAAGCAAAATTTTTAGGGCACCCGTTACCAAAAGAGGGAAGTAAACCTAATACAGAAAGAATTGTGGCAATAAAAGAGTAAGAACTTCGGAAAACAGAGAGCCACCCTAAAGATTTTTTGGGAGCTACAATCTATTATAGGAAATTTATTAAAGACTATTCGAAAGTAGCACATCCCATAATGAAGTACTTAAAAAAAGGTTATAAAAAAAATAAAAAAGATCCGCAGTACATAAATTTGAATATTTGAAAACACTTATTTCATCACATTTAATTTTAAAATCCCCTGAATATTATAAACAAGTGATTACACAATGGGAGCAGTGCTTTCTCAACAAGGTCAGCCAGTGTACTACATTTCTAGAATATTAAATAACCATGAAGAGAAATTTGCTACAACAGATAAAGAATTTCTTGCCATTCTATATTTAATAATCTATTTCAGGCTGTACATTTATGGCACAAAATTTAAAATTATTACCGATCATAGTCCAATAATATATCTAAGTAAATATAAACGAAAGGATTTTTCTCAACACCATCAGAGGTGGTTATTGAAATTACA